GCACTACTTGTCCTTATAGCGCACAATAATAGAAGGGATTTATTTATTTAATCGCACTATCTGTTGCACCCAGATGAGGATGGGTTCCCTTTTGAGCCTGGTTCCTCTCAAGGTTTCTTCCTCATATCATCTCAGGGAGTTTTTCCTTGCCACCGTCGCCACCGTCGCCACTGGCTTGCTCATTAGGGATAAATTCACAATGATAAATTCAAATATTTATAATATATTTTTTGTTAATCCATTTATTTCTGTAAAGCTGCTTTGTGACAATGTCCATTGTTAAAAGCGCTATACAAATAAAACTGAATTTGAATTTGAATTTGAATTTAAACGCCACACAGATCAAGGAACACAAGCAAGGAGACACAACCCTGAGCAGGGTCCAGTGTTTGGTCATTTACCACTTTAACCAACGTCACTTTACCCAGCACTGTCTCAGTACTGTGATGAGGCCTAAATCCTGACTGAAAGATTTCATGAAAGTAGTTCCCATGCAAGTATGAGCCTAACTGCTAACATTTTCTAGGACCTTAGTGATAAAGGGGAGGTTTGATATTGGCTGTTGATATTTGATATCAAAGTAGGATTTTTTACTCAGTGGTAGAACTGTTTGTTTAAAAGATTTAGGTACATGGCCAATGGCCAATATTTATGACTTTATTTTTCTCCACTTGGTTATTCCGACTTTATCTTTAATTTGTCACCAGTGTTTGTATATTAGTTAATGACACCTAATTCCATGTGAGTAAATGATATATGTTGCTGGTGATGTCACAGTACATGACTTTGTCTATTCAAAAATAATTTGCTGCATTTGAAATTGAGTTTCTAACTTATTTCATTTTCATTTTTTCTTATCCAGAAAGGAATAATGTTCTGTTACAAGTCGTCTCCTGCTTCTTGTGTCCAGTTTCATACACCTCTTGACCTGACCTCCACAAACACATCAAGAGATGGCACTGCTTCAGAAAGGCTTCAGATATCTGGAGAAATTAAATCTGAGAACCTGTCTCCAGTAAGTTGCAGAAGTCTTAATAATAGTCACTTACATTTTTTTTCTTCTTGACATCTTGATCCAAAATCAAGGTCATCTGTTCCTGCTCAGCATTTCATATTTTATACTTGTCACACAGCATGGTGTTACAGGGTAGTAATCCCATTTCTGCCTTCTCGCGAAGGAATTCTGATCAATCCCACCTACTGCCACAGAGAGTTTGACAAATATAATATATAAAATAATTTAGGGGGCATGGTGGCTTAGTGGCTTAGTGGCTAGCACGTTTGCCTCGCACCTACAGGGTCGGGGGTTCAAATCCTGCCTCTGCCCTGTGTGTGTGTGTGTGGAGTTGGCATGTTTTCGCCGCACTTCAGGGGTTTCCTCCCCCAGTCCAAACACATACGTTGTAGGTTGATTGGCATTTCCAAATTGTCCATAGTGTGTTATTGTTCCCTTGTGCCCCAAGTTCCCTGGGATAGGCTCCAGGCTTCCCTGCAACCCTGTGTATGGTAAGCGGTACAGAGAATGGATGGATGGATATATAATGTAAGTGATTCCCATGAAAGTATGAACT